AGGTGGGGAGGGTGGGGAGAGACAAGTGCAGAACCAGGGACACCATAAAAAGCTTGGCGGGGTTTCATATACTGAGTTTGGAAAGTCAGCAGGAGGGTCCATTTAGGGATGAGATGGGGAGATCAAGAATTTGGTTTTAGACATGTTCATTTTCAGATATCTGTTAGTTATCCAAGTAGAGATACCAAGTAGGCAGTTGGATATATATGTGATAATTGATTTGCCATAGGCAAGCTAGACGTTGATGTTAAAGCTCTTGGAAAATACTTCTCCACCTTGTCTGGATTGTGTCTTTCTGTTCTGTACCTGTTGGGATGGTGAATTTCAAAATAAGAAAACAAAGAACTCCCCTCTCTCCCGCTGAAGCAGTCAATATCATACTCTAAGGTTTACTCAATTCTGTTTAAGAGAGCTGCCTTCTGGGAACTTCGCTGGTGGCGCAGAGGTTAAGAATCCTCCTGCCAATGCAGGGGACATGGGTTCGAGCCCTGGTCTGGGAAGGTCCCACATGCTGTGGAGCAGCTAAGCCCGTGCACCACAACTACCGAGCCTGTGCTCTAGAGCCTGCGAGCCACAGCTACTGAGCCCACGTGCCACAACTACTGAAGCCTGCGCACCTAGAGTCCGTGCCCTGCAATAAGAGAAGCCACCGTAGTGAGAAGCCTGCGCACCGCAACGAAGAGTAGCCCCGGCTTGCCACAACTGGAGAAAGCCTGCGCGCAGCAAGGAAGACCCAACGCAGCCCAAAATAAATAAATAAAAATTTAAAAAGAGAGAGAGCTGCCGTCTGGATTGGAATTGGACTGGCTTCATACTGTGTTTTCCTTGAATCTTTTTTGCTGAGACTCCTGAAGAGCTATTGGCATATCCTTGGAGAATCTAATATTCTTTGGGTTGTGATCTACTGCCTATGTTATTCTTCCTCAACATCTAAATATTATTTTAGCCCAGTGTATTTGAAACCAGAAGAGCCCACGTATCATTCTATCCCCCCATCCTTGCCTCATGAAGTATCTGTGTGCCTAATGAGCCATGTTACTGGTGAAATTATGGGGGTTTTAAAATAAATTTATTTATTTATTTATGGCTGCGTTGGGTCTTTGTTGCTGCGGCACAGGCTTTCTCTAATTGCATCGAGTGGGGGCTACTCTTCGTTGCGGTGCGCAGGCTTATTCCGGTGGCTTTTCTTGTTGCAGGGCACGGGCTCTAGGCACATGGACTTCAGTAGTTGTGGCACATGGGCTCAGTAGTTGTGGCACACGGGCTTCAGTAGTTGTGGCTCGCAGGCTCTAGAGCGCAGGCTCAGTAGTTGTGGCGCATGGGCTTAGTTGCTCCATGGCATGTGGGATCTTCCCGGACCAGGGCTTGAACCCGTGTCCCCTGCGTTGGCAGGCGGATTCTTAACCACTGTGCCACCAAGGAAGTCCCTGAAATTATGTTCTGCATATGAACGATGTACAGGTTAAAAAGGAAAAAAAAAAAAAGGTTGAGAAACCAGTTTTTCATTTCATTTGCTCAACTTCTTCCCCTTAAATTTCATGCAGCAAATACTTATTGAGTCACTAGAATGCGAATGAAGATGAGAGCCCCTGCACTGAGAGAGAGATCATTGTGTTGTGGGTGAGGCAGAGATAAACAATTATTTATTCTATATAGAGGTGCATGGATTGGGTGCTATGGAGAGGAACTAGAGCCTTCCTGAGAAATCCTTGTCAAGCTTGAACTGAATCTTCAGATTAAATAGATATTTTCCAGACAGATAAAGTTTTAGGAGAAGAACATATTAAGCAGAAAGAACAACATCTGACAAGAAACAGCGTGTCAGTTTCAGTGTTTGGGGAGCAAGAAGTAATTCTGATGTGCTTGAAGTTAAGGAAATAGGCTGGAGAGGTAGGCAGGGCCCAGATCCAAGGGAACCATATACATTTGAAATAAATGTGGTCCTAAAAAAATAACCAAGAGTAAAAGTTTGAGAGCTGCAAGATGCAGATTTTGAAAATCTAATGTAAAAGAGATGAAACGCTTCCTCACTGAGCTCTTGTTAGCATAGTTGTAATACTACATTTGAGCATGTGTAAGATGTCACATAAGCCTAATGTGGTTATCCTTAATTATGAAAAATTCTGAGTAAAAAGGTAAAGCAGAAAATGGTGAAAGAAGAGGGAACTTTTCTTTGAGAAACATTTGTTAATAGTACTTAATTGTAAGTCAGGCACCATTATAAGTGCTTTGCAAACGTTTACTCGTTAGCCTCATAACAACCCCATGCATTTGGTCCTGTTTGTTATCTCCATCCTTCAGACCGGAGACTGAGCTGAGTACTACTGCCTAAAGTCACACAGCTAGTAAGTAACAGAGTCAGCATTTGAAATCAGGTGGTCTGGTCTGGTTCCCAAGTCCGTGTTCAGAACCACTGTGTCTGCTGCCTCTGATTTGGGTGTCCCAGCTTCTCAGAGAATTATTCTAGAGCAGAAGTCCAGGGATAGTCTTCAGGGTGTCCTGAAACCCCTGAAGTTTTTGTGGAAACATTGCATGTACGGTTTTCAGAAAGAAGGTCCCTGACTTTCATCTGTTTGTCAAAAGGGTCCTTGGGGCAGAATGGTTTTAGCACTGCTGACCTAGAAGAGATTTTCATGTCTTTTCCATTGTTAAAGGGCTTCAGTTGGAATAAGGATTCCCTCAGATGAACAATCTATTTATAAGCCCACACAGACTTCTTAGGTAACATTGTTGTAAATTAATTACTTGTCTGGTTGATCTTCCTAGGAACTTTTTCCAAAATACATGTTCCAGGTCCCAGATTTAGGGATTGCTGTTTTTTTAATACAGGATGGAGTCCCGGATTCTGTTTTGAGAAATCTCTCCAGATGATTCTAATATAAGTCTTTGGTTGAGAACCGCTAATATTACCTCTTGGAGGACATATGACCCATGCTAGCCCACTTGAACCACTTCCAGTTTTCACTTCTAAATGACCTTTACAGAGCCTGGCACTCCCTCAAGGTCTTCTTGGTGCCCTTATTTGAAATAAGAGTTCCCGTTCTCTCATTGCTGAGTACCAGATGAATTAGAAAATACCTCCTCCCCAGAAGCCCACAGCTGGTATAGATCTTTTGAAGTGGTGCTCTAGTACATCTTAAAGAATGTCTAAGGTCCCTCTTTCCTGAGGTTAGTTACTCTGCTTGTATTCACCAGACTCAAGCTTTTTGAGACTCCTGCTGTCTCAGCATTTTGGGCGTCTGGTTATGCGATACAGGTCAGAAACTCCTGGGTGTGGGTCATTGAAAGGTTAAATGTACAGTTACAAGGAAAGTAATTCGATGAATTCTTATAGGAAAGAGGGCAGAAGGATACCAAGTAGACATACCCAGACCAGACTATGGAGGATGAAATAAAGGTACTACTTAAGGTGGGGAAGGGACTTCCCTGGTGGCTTAGTGGTTAAGAATCCGCCTGCCAGTGCCTGGGACACGGGTTCGAGCCCTGGTCTGGGAAGATCCCACATGCCACGGAGCATCTAAGCCCGTGCACCACAACTACTGAGCCTGCGCTCTAGAGCCCACGCTCCACAACAAAGAGAAGCCAACGCAATGAGAAGCCCACCCACCACAACGAAGAGTAGCCGCCCCCCCCCCTCGCCACACAGACAAAAGAAAAAAAGGTGGGGGAGATGAGTTGATAACAAATGTAAAAGAACTGGAAGTACTTCGGAAAGAGGATATTTCAATCTCAATATGCTGTTGAAGTTATAGGCATTTGCCCCAAGAAGGGGCGGGGAGAGAATAGTGGTGCTAGATAAGCACTTTTTACCTTTATTTTCTTAGAGAGAAATAGGCTTGGTTACTGATTATAAAACTCACCCAGAGAAATGGTTTTCTGCAGTGCCAAGAGCATAGATAGGAAAGTCACCAGTGACAGGAACCAGTGGGAAGTGGTAGTTTCGAGCAGTTCTTCTCCTACTGTCCCCTCTTACAGTATATGGCTCTTATAATCTGCCACGGTGGAGTCTGCCTGTTTCTGAATAGAGACACCAATCAGTGTTGCCCCTGAACACAGGTACTTATTATAGCTTTTTAAAAAATATGAACAGCGTGCCCTGGATTGAATGGGCCATGGTAGAATCACAGCCTGCCCAAATCCAGAAGTTTGTATTGTGAGAAGAAAACTCATTTCTTCATTTGTTCAAAGGCTTTTCCTTCCGAGAGTCATCAGATTTACGAGTGTTTGACCCAGCAAGCTTTTCCAGCCATGTGACTTAGGAAAGTAAGATTTTATAAAAGAAAGAGCTTTAAAACTGATACCTGAAAAAAGATAAGGGGCAGTATGCCACCAGTTATTGTGGAGAGAAAAAAAACAAGGTTTAGAGCCAATTTTGCATTTGAATCCTGGTTCTTCTGTGTACTGGATGTTACTTAATCTTTCTGAACCTCAGTTCCTCATCTGTAAAATGAGAGGGTAGTAACAGTACTTTGTTTGGGATAGTTATAATGAGGATTAGAAATATTCTCATTAATAGGTACTTAGTAAGTGGTAGCAGAAACTACTATTAAAACAACTGACTGGATATCGCAGGTATAGAATTGTGCCTTGAATTCATTCCTCCTGGGGCCCCTCCTGGAGCAAGGCAGAGTTGCAGGCTGTCCACGGTGCTCTTGACAGTGGAGTGAATAAGGACATGCTTTGCAGTGTATGGGCTGGTATGTCTTGATTTGGGGTTTCCTAACCTGTCTAAAAGAGGAATGAGGGACTTCCCTGGCCGTACAGTGGTTAAGGCTCCGTGCTCCCAATGCAGGGGGCCCAGCTTTGATCCCTGGTCAGGGAACTAGATCCCATGTGCCGCAACTAACTAAGACCCAGCGCAACCAAATAAATAAATAAATATTTAAAAATAAATAAATAGGAAGGAAATTGGGTGATTTATTTCTAGACACATAACTGTTCTTTCCCTCCTACCTGGCTTCTTATGATGTCCTAATTTTCCCTTGCTACTTTACTGGCAGGTGGCTGTGAAAAACAATATTGATGTCTTCTACTTCAGCTGCCTCATCCCACTCAACGTGCTTTTTGTAGAAGATGGCAAAATGGGTAAGTATGTCCTCCTGTCCTGCAAATATACCTTTGCTCTTTCTCTGAATGTGTCAGGCAGAGCATAGCCCCGGAAGGACAAGCTATTTTGAGGTTTAAAAAAATGGAGGAAGGCTATTCTGAAGCTCTAATAATTGCTAATTATATATTCTCCTGAGTCACAGTTGATCTTGCTTTGCTGTTGGTCTCCAAGTCACAATGCCTATTGTCCAAATAAGCCAGTCACCACAGCATACAGAGTAAGTGGCTTGGTGACAAGTAGATGTGGATTTGAATCTCAGCTTGGCTATTTACCAGCTATGTGACTGTAGCAAGGTGCTTAATTTTTTTGAGTTTCAGTTTCCAAAGCAGAAATCGTTTTTATAATGACTTGAGATAATACAAGGAAATTCAGCATTTAGCCCTGTCCTGAGTTCTTACTGTCTCAAGATAAGAATTCAATAATTTGTGATAAATTTATTGGTATTCCCCATGTGGTTGTTGATATTTCTCTCTTCCCTTACTTAGGAAACCACCATCTAATAAAACTAGCTTGTATTGATACATATGAAGTTGTATTGGCACTTAACATTGGTTTCATTCTTACAGTAGCTCTTTGGGTAGGGTAGGCAGATGTAATAATATATGATGAAATTAAGGATCAGAAAGATCACAAGACTTACCAAAGTCACCCAAATAGGAAAACAGTGGAGGCAAAACTAAACCCTAGATGTTGACTTTTTTCCAGTGTATCTTAGTGCTACTCATGAGGGATTAATTGACCTGGAGTGTAGCACCTCTGCATAGCTAGGAGTTGACTCCAGTCCCAGGCTACTGCTGGCTGTATTGCTAGAACCAGCACTCCAAAGGAGAAATGGTACAAGGGCTTAGATGTCAGAATATTGACAGATTGTGCACATCCTTCCTTTCCCTCTGCTTCCCCATACAGAGCGCCAGGTCTTCCTTGCAACATGGAAGGATATTCCCAATGAAAATGAACTTCAGTTTCAGATTAAGGAATGTCATTTAAATGCTGGTGAGTGATGAGTCTAAATTTCATTTTCATCTTAGTGTATTATATTAGATATTTGAAAATGTTGTCTTTTCTTTACCTACCTTTTCACACCTACCTTATTTCTAGTGAGTATATGGTATTACTTTGCAAACTTCTCTTTAAAAACTTGGGATGTATTACTTTGCAAACTTCTCTTTAAAAACTTGGGATGTTTATATCTAGGTACTAGATTACTTACAAACTAACAGATTTAAGAAGAGAACTAGAATGGATCCACCCACCCAATTCTCTAGTAGTTGAACATGTATGAGTCATGTTACTTGAACATTTTAAGCATTAGGTAATTGAAGTGGCACTTGAAGATATTCACTCTCCTAAAAATTAAAAGGACTGTTTGTCATTTTACATCAGCCTTCAGTAGTGACTCTTTCCGAGATCCTTATTTGGAATCCTGTGTTTACTATTAAATAAGACTACATCATAGTTGATTAAAGCCTAGTTGGTAGCCTTTTTCTTTCTTGCCTTGTGTCAGCTTTCATATGGTTATACTGACCTCTTTAATCACCATGAAAAAGCTCCAGCCCCCTTAGTAGTTAGTTTTATTACTGTACTAGAACATCAAACTGGGGAGCCCAGGAGGAGAAACAATAGCAGCTGACAGTGCCTAGGGCTTTGTTTCACTGAAGCATCCTCAGGAGTGGAAGGAGCCTTCAGCTGTTCAGGGTCTTGCCTTTGTTCCAGTCTCTCTTTGAGGTTAGTATAAGGCCTTATGAAATGAAAGGCGTTTTAATGAAAGTGAGCCTTGGTGCTGTTGGGTGCCGCCTCTTTTCCTCTTTTCTTCATTCACCCGTCCTTTCCTCCTTCTGGCTGCCGCCCTCCCACTGTAGCTGGAGCATTGAGTGGGGGAAAGAGGCAGTATAGCAGTACAGAAAGAAAAAGAAAAAAAAAAAAAACAACTCACTGTCTTCTCAGTTCAACTTGTTCTTTAAAAAGTTTTTTTGCGGGGAGTGGGAGTGCTCTATGATGCATTCATCCTCTGTGTTCAGACAAGTCTTTTCTTATAGACTTCTCCTGAGCCCTTGGAGAGGTGTTTGAGGAGATAGTTTTCTGTAATGTCCACTGTCGCTACTAGTTTGTCGATTCTCTTCAGGAATACCACATATCTGCCTTCTTTTGAACATATTCTTGGTCTGGGTTTTTCAGCCTGACTGGTTATGTAGTTATTAAACAAAACCAGATTTTTGCTGAGTTTTCACAAAAAAGTCATACTTAAATTGAGCTGCTTTTTATGCCGTATTCTAGGTAGGTGACGGTGTTATCTCTCTGCTAGGCTCACTGGTTAGTTACCACAAGCCTCATTTGATGAGTTGGGAGGTCGGGCAGTCTTCCATTGTGTAAGCTGTTTTTCAGGAAGCTCCAGGTGCAGAACTGCAGTGGTTCATGGCGAGAGTTATAGTCACCGTTGTGTAGTCAGTCCCAGGGCATTTCATTTATTATGCTCCTGAGAACACTTGTCCCTCAGAAAAGGGTTCTGTGGTCAAAAAAGTTGGAAAATACAGTGTATGATGTGCCTCTCTTGGGTGTTGCCATTGCACATGAGCACACTAGAAGCTGAGGCTTCCTGCATCGGGGAAACCAGTTTAACTCAACATTAACTGAATTTTTTCACTGTGGAATTTAAAGTCACAAAATGCTTATTATTAACGTCTTATGGAACACCGGTGTTCCTTGAACATGCACGATCTGGGAAACTCTGGCCTATAGAGAGCAGAGAAAGGCCAGAGTAATTGGAAAGCAGATTTGGTTTCAGAGGTCTGGTGTGAAAGGGACATGCTTTTTCAAAAAAGAAAATGGAAGTTTGGATGATTGAGGGCTTTACTGTGGCCTGTCAGAGTTATAGAAAAGATCCCCCTGCTTCCAGATTGGGGTTCTGAACCCTTATTGAACCTTGGTGTACATTTGTGATCTTGCCCAAAGAAGGGGTGTCTGGTCTTGCTCCCAAAGGGTCTTTGGCTTCTGATGTAAACTGGAACAGTTTCCCAAAGCAAATTCAGTTTTGATCAGTTCTGCCATGGCCTCATGCCAGTTCCTCCCTGCCTCGGGTGCTCCAAATACCAGCGAATCAGTTTTCCAGTGACACACAGTGCAGCACGTGGCAGTGCAGCACATGGAGCAGAGGGAAAAACAGCCACTTCGTTTTCTCCAGGAGCCCGAGGCCATCATTTCCCACACTGAATCATTGCTAATCGCTTACAAGACCACTTCCTGCAACTAATCCTTTCTAGCTTTTCCTCTGCCGCCACCCCAAGGTCTGGAGTACCCTGGCCTTTACATTTCCTTCCAGTCTGAGGGCTCTATTAACATGAACATTTTTGGGTTTAGTGCCTTCTGATTCAACACCCTGGGTCTAGCTGAGAGCTAAAAATACCATCCTCCCCAGCTGATCTGTCCTAATCACAATAGCACCAACCCTTTAAATAGCTTTTTTGTGCCAGAGTAGACATTTGACAGATGGAGCTAACACTGAGGGCAACAGGAAGTCGCAGGCTTAAAGGGCTGACCACCTAGCGTTGAGCTTTTACTTTTGCTCTTCCATGTCTTCTAGAGATGAAAGAAGAAAAGAAACCCTCTTCCTAAGCCTTAATCATTTATCAGTTCTTAATAGAAAGGTGTATATGATGGGGTGCTTATGGTGCCACTAGTTGTGTAAATACTAGAAAATATTAGATCAGAAAGGCACCAATGTTTGGGTCTCCCTGCTTCCTAGCACTGGTCATCTCTACTGGCGTCAAGCGGTCTGTATGAATCTGTTTTACAGCTTATATTATAGCTGTATTTGGGCTTAGTACATGTCTGGGACCACTATCTTAAGTATACAAGAAGTAGTTGCATCTCCACCCATATCCAGAAAGGAATCTTTCTGGCAAGCAATCTAGAAACCTGTTTTTTAAATTAAGTGTTTATTATACTGTGAAGAGCTCAGAGACATGTTGTATCTATATTCACTAGTTGGGCTCTCTAGTAAGGGACAAATATTTCTTCTGCCACAGGGACTAGGTGAGGATGAATTCTGTTTCTTTGTTTTGTCGTGGTTCTCCCCATCCCTCGGAACATTTCATAAATGCAAATGCTTTGCCAGCCAGCACTTAAATATAGTTTGGTTGTTCAAATGGTAGAAAGTATCCTTTTCAGCAAGCATAATGGTTTTGAACTTGCTGATGAGTATGTACCACAGCTGGGACCCCTGTACAGATTCCCCCTTCCCACTCACTGAGTATCTTCACTCTTATGGCTGCTGGAAGAGATGTGACCTTAGCTGAAGTAGGAAAATGAAGGAGGGAAGACCACATTCACACCTTCTCAGACTTCAGGCCTCAGGCCCAAAGCCAGATTTGAGGTAGGAGACAAATGAACCAAAAGAAATCACACCTTGGGAGGGAGGGAGACGCAAGAGGGAAGAGATATGGGAACATATGTATATGTATAACTGATTCACTTCGTTATAAAGCAGAAACTAACACACCATTGTAAAGTAATTATACCCCAATAAAGATGTTAAAAAAAATAAATAAATAAAAAATAAAAAGAAAAAAAAAAAGAAATCACACCTTGATGCACTTGTAACCATATTTGACCATCTTTTAAAACTCTGTCCTTTAGGGCAAATCTCAGTGTCTTAACATTGCATTGTCATTCTCAAAGTCTCACAACTGTAAGATTCCATCATGTTTCCCAGGACTTCAGGTATATTTAAAACAACAACAACTACAAAAAACTGACATCTTGTAAAGAAGTCTATCCCAGTCTGACAAGGAAGCCTCCTTAACATTGGCTCGCATTGCCATTCTTAATAGGTTCATTTAGCAGAGTCTGATGATCCTGCCATCTACATACCCTCTAACTCAAACCTGATAGCGAAGGTTTATGAAAATTGACTCACACATACTTATGTTATAGAACCCTCCTCCCTCCATTCAGTCTTCTGATAGAAATCACGATAACAGCCATTTAGTAGGAGCAGAGCCAGGTTCCTAACTGGAATGCTTCCAAACACAGTAAAGTTACATCCATTCAACTTGCTTATTCTACCTGGCTGTTTGCCACATTTTCTAATTCTGGAAGGGGTGAGTGTGTATGTGTGTCTGTGTGCTTCCATTTCTTAGCCTATTATCTCTTACTTAGGTGGTAAAATCACGAGACATCTGTAGGCATCTGGGCCTTGCTGTGTATATTGTCTAGAACATGTGCCTATGCAACAAGGTAGATCTTCAACAAAAGCTCCTGCTAGGCACATGGGCTTCAGTAGTTGTGGCGTGTGGGCTCAGTAGTTGTGGCACGCAGGCTCAGTAGCTGTGGCTCGCGGGCTCTAGAGCGCAGGCTCAGTAGTCGTGGTGCACAGACTTAGTTGCTCTGGGGCACGTGGGATCTTCCCGGACCAGGGCTCGAACCCATGTCCCCTGCATTGGCAGGCAGATTCTTAACCACTGCGCCACCAGGGAAGCCACCCCCCCCCCTCCTTTGTATTTAAGACAGTCCTGTCAAAAGGCATTAGCCAAACTCCAGCTGGTGATGTTGCCTGGCAACCCAGTCTGAGCTGCAAGAGCCCTTCATTGTGGGAACCAAGGTGACAGCCAGAACTGCCTGAACCTCCAAAAGGTGATTAAAAAGCATACTGAGGCCCTCTCCTTCAGCAGTCTTGCATATAACAACCTTGAGATATACTTTTTAGCTCCCCAAAGAGAACCAATTCTTGAGCTTTAACTACTCTGCTTGGTGTTAGTGAAAACCTTGGAAATAAAAGGAGGGAAATTAAGTCATAACTAAGTGTGGTGCAGTTGTTTAATGAATGGGCTTTAGTGCCTCCTCGCTTGAGCTCTCACTGGTTTGAATGTGGAAGAAAGACATCAGGGCAAGAGCTGCCTCCAAGGGGGATTGGGATTGACATATACACACTACTATATATAAAATAGATAACCAATAGGGACCTATCAATACGATATAGCAAAGGGAACTCTGCTCAGTTTTCTGTAGTGACCTATATGGGAAAAGAATCTAAAAAAAGAGTGGATAGATGTATATGTATAACTGATTCACTTTGCTGTACAGCAGAAACTAACACAACATTGTAAATCAACTATACTCCAATAAAAATTTAAAAAAAAAACTACCTCTAAAATTAGACCACTTCTAAATAGGTGGTTTTTAGACTCACAAACAGAAAACAAGATTACTGTTACCAAAGGGGAAAAGTGGGGGAGGGATAAATTAGGAGTATTGGATTAACAGATACATACTACTGTATATAAAACAGATAAACAAAAAGGATTTATCGTATAGCACGGGAAACCACATTCAGTATCTTGTAATAACCTATAATGGAAAAGAACCTGAAAAAGTGTGTGTGTATGTGTATACATATATATGTATGTATATCCAGATCACTTTGCTGTACACCTGAAACTAACACAATATTGTAAATCAACTATACTTCCAATAAATAAATAAATAAAGGGTTTTTTTCTTAGCAGAGATTTTTTTTACTGAAGTATCGTTGATTTACAGTGTTGTGTTAATTTCTACTATACTGCAAAGTGATTCAGTTATACACATATATACATTCTTTTTATATTCTTTTCCATTATGGTTTATCACAGGATATTAAATATAGTTCCCTGTACTGTACAGTAGGACCTTGTTGTTTATCCATTCTGTATATAATAGTTTGCATCTGCTAACCCAAACTTCCCACTCCATTCCTCTCCCACCCCACCCTCTTGGCAACCACAGGTCTGTTCTCTGTGTCTGTGAGTCTGTTTCTGTTTCATAGGTTTGTTCATTTTGTGTCATATTTTAGATTGCACATATAAGTGATATCATATGGTATTTGTCTTTCTGACTTCACTTAGTATGATAATCTCTAGTTCCATTCATGTTGCTGCAAATGGCATTATTTCATTGTTTTTTATGGCTGAGTAGTATTCCATTGTGTATATATGTGCCACATCTTCTTTGTCCCTTCATCTGTCGATGGACGTTTAGGTTGTTTCCATGTCTCTGCTGCTGTGAACGTGGGGGTGCGTGTGTCTTGTTGGATTATAGTTTTTTCTGGATATACGCCCGGGAGTGGGATTGCTGGATCGTATGGTAGTTCTGTTTTTAGTTTTTTGAGGAATCTACGTGCTGTTTTTCATAGTGGCTGCACCAACTTACATTCCCACCAACAGTGTAGGAGGGTTCCCTTTTCTCCACACCCTCTCCAGCATTTATTACTTGTTTGTTTGTTTTTTTAATAAATTTGTTTACTTATTTATTTTTTGGCTGCATTTGATTTTCATTGCTGCGTGGGCTTTTTCTACTTGCAGCGAGTGGGGGCTACTCTTCGTTGAGGTGCGCGGGCTTCTCATTGCAGTGGCTTCTCATTCTGGAGCACGGGATCCAGGCACGTGGGCTTTAGTAGTTGCAGCATGTGGGCTCAGTAGTTGTGGCACACGGGCTTAGTTGCTCCACAGCATGTGGGATCTTCCCGGACCAGGGCTCGAACCCGTGTCCCCTGCATTGGCAGGCGGATTCTTAACCACCGCACCACCAGGGAAGTCCCAGCATTTATTGTTTGTAAACTTTTTAATGATGGCCATTCTGACTGGTGTGAGGTGGTACCTCATTGTAGTTTTGATTTGCATTTCTCTAACGATTAGAAATGTTGAGCATCTTTTCATTTGCCTATTGGTAATCTGTATTTCTTCTTTGGAGAAGTGTCTTAAATAGATGTTTTTTAATGCCTATGGCATTATGTACATATCAGCGTCTCCAACACCTGAGTCAGAGGCTTATTCACAGGTATTGATGGCAGGTATCCATTGTGTCCCAGATACTGTGGGAAATACAGTGATGAAAAACTCTAGGATCCCTATGCTCAGCTTACTTACTGTCTTGGAGAACAGAAAGACTGTCCACCACAACAGCCTTTTCCTAGAGAGCACAATAGAACATGACAGGATTTTATGTGGAGAGAATTTAGTCCCTGAGTAATTTGAATTCTCATCAGAAATGAACATAATAAACTATCAACAAAGAAGTAGTGTTTATCATCTGTGTTTTTAAAGTTTCTCTTTCTGTGATGCTGCAGCATCTCATGCTAGCAGTCAGAGAACAAGGAGAGGGAAATTACCTTTAATTCTAGAATGTCATGTCTCTCTGATGCTGTAGTCACAAGGAAAACCCCAAACACCAACCTGTTCTTACCCTGTGTTGGTGACTATGAAGTCCTCCACTCTGACCAGCAACGGCAGCCGGGCTTACATGGCCTTGGAGCAATCATCTTTGCACAACTTCAGTCTTCCTCAGAGTCTTTTGTTGAGACAGTTTGTTTCATTATTAATTTGGGGCATGGTATTCCCCCAAATTAATAATTTAATTTAAGACCTAAGAAATCATTTGCCTGCTTTTAAAAAAAATCTTAAACATCCAGATTAATAAATTTGACTTGCAGGATTTCTGCAACTGGGTGCTTTTCTGATCCTGGCACTTGAGACCAGAATGGCTTACGGTGAAGTAGTAGCAACTTGCGAGGCAGTGTTGTGCATTTGAGTGTCAGTTTTGTATCCCCGTGAATCTGGGACTAGCGTTGGAGAAATGAATCTGACGTGGCAGTCACTGTGGCACACCCATGTACCTGTTTCTGTCTTTGTCCTCGTCAGTGCATTTTTACGTGTCTAACACCTAGTTTAAGATTACCAACTCCTTAGACCCACCATAATCTCCACAGGTAATTCTTACACTAATGCTTATTTGCACCTTATTCTGTTTTCTGTCCTGGAATGTGATGGACAGGCACTTCAGGAGCTTCTTCCTTATCCTTCGCTCTTGTGGGAGAAGAGCTTTCTGAAATGTGCATGTACGCATGTAACAGTGCTTCTCAGGAGACTTGAGCACACATAGCTCATAGCACATTTGTTTGATATTTTAACTGAAGGTGTTGGATTTTGAATCTGTGTTTCTAGACACTGTTTCCAGCAAGTTGCAAAACAACAATGTTTATACTATTGCCAAGAGGAATGTGGAAGGGCAGGACATGCTGTACCAATCCCTGAAGCTCACTAATGGCATTTGGATTTTGGCTGAGCTACGTATCCAGCCAGGAAACCCCAATTACACGGTAAGGCCTTTCTCAGAATAGGTGAGTTGGGTTCAAGGAGGTGGGTAAGAGCCCTTTCATTTTTTCTCAGCATCCAGGAAAGACCTGGTAGAGGTGCTTCAGACACCAGGTATCCAAAACAAGCAGTCAGTAAAGAAGTCCCCAGTTGCCTCCTTAGAAGACCTTCTGTCTGTAGTGTCTGCCCCATCCAGCAGGCACAGTGCCTCCCAGCACGAGTCTCAGACTCCTCCTGGTATATACAGAGCTGCTCACAAAACTTCATCAGTATTGGTTAATACTTAACCTAGCATATCTATGCATGTGGTACTGTAACAAGCTGCTAAGAGGATTGTTTTCGTAGCTCATTTCAAGCTCATTTCTGCTTTTCTTAGGATATCAGAATCCCAGACATATGAGCCTTTTTAGCTGTGTTGTGTGGCCTAAATGGTTGTTGAAAAGTTAAAGCAAAATGGGACATACCTTTCACAGCCTGTAAGGGGACTTTAGTTTAGAAAACTTCATTCATTACCACACTGGACTAAAATTGGAATCCTGGCAGTATTTTTAGGGGAGGAGCCAGTTGCTTTGTTAAACAACAAAGCTTTAATACCTAGGCACTCAGTGTTTGTTTGCTGTTGTGAAATGCAGTCTCCCAATAGGATGCTGCTTGTCATCTGCATTTTGTCAAGTACAAGAAAAACCCTTGCGATGGGGGAAATATCTTATTCTTCTGTTATGTTTAAGGCTTTTGAATTGAATAACTCTGAGGAAGCTTCATATTCAGTAGATTAAGGGAGCTTTTTAGCCATGTAGCTGAGAAAAGTCTGTGACTCCTTTCCTTAATTTTAAGGCAAGTCTGTTTTCATTAGCATACATTAAGGAAATAATACCACCAGAACTAAAAATTCTTGGTGTCTCCCCACTAGTTCCCTCCCTTGAAGTAAACTGGACTAGCATGTGTGTGTGTGAGCTACTGAGTTCCACCAAGCTAGATGTTTGTCCAAGCATTTGTGAGCTGAGAGACTTCAGGCTTCCCTCATAAAGTGTATGCTCCTCCCACCCACCTCCTCCATGACCAGTGCCTTGTCTTTTTTGTAAGAAACTACTCTGTCATTTTCCTTGAGCTCCCTAAGAAAGGAAAACTCCTCTGTACTCTTCCTGGAGGGACAGGTTTTCACTATAAAATCAAGGTCTTGTAAAATAACGCCATTTGCTTCCCCAGAAATTTCTTCGAAGTATATATATTTGTGTGTGTTTTATTTTTTATCATCCATTATTTTATTGTATATAGTATTCCATCTCAGCTAGGTTAAAGAAGCATGATTACCCCCAGTTTGCAGGTAAGGAAACCAAGGTTAAGAATGATTAGTGACTTGTTGGAGATCATATAAGTTGTTGGTAGCTGAGTTGTGTGTAGAACTCAGGTATCTCAACACTTCCTACCATATTCTTTCTATTCATTATAAGGATAGTGAGAATTTTGAGAAGGACCTCTTAGTAACAGCATAGTTTGTTTAAAATTTTTAAAAACTTTTTATTTAAGACTCACAGAAAGTTTTAAAAATGGTACATAGAGTTCCCATGTATCTTTCACCCAGTTTTCCTCATTGAGAACATGTTACAACCATAGTACATTTTCAAGCAGGAAATTGATATTGGCACAATACTATTAACTAAGCTACAGACCTTATTCAGATTTCACCAGTTTCTACATCATTACTCTTACTTTATTTTATTTAGTTAAGGAGTGTACAGTACTATGAAATCTTATCACACATATAGATTTGTATAATCACCACCACGGTCAGGATACAGAACTGTTCCATCACCACAAAAAAACTCCTTCTCGCTATCTCTTTATAGTTAGACATTCACGCTAGCCCTAACCCATGGCAACCACTGGTATGTTTGTTCTCCATTACTGTAATTTTCTCATTTCAAGAGTGTTATATAAATTCAATTCCTACAGCCTGTATCCTTTTGAGACTTTTTTTTTCACTTAACATAATACCCTTGACATCTATCTAAGTCGTTGCATGTGTTTTTTTATGACCAAGTAGTGGTGCACTACATGATAAATCACTTCCCCCAACCCCTTACTGTATTTCATTAAGAAAGTATGTTTATCCCATGAGGAAGAGGCCTCATATCTCTAAGTAGCTCTATCTCACCTGGGAAGATAACTTGTCCCAGGTGAAGAAGTCTGTGTTCCAGGCTATAAACCAGAAGTGGATGTGTAAGTCCTTGGCTTACCTAGGCGGGGGTGGGTGCGGGGGGGAGTCTAGGTGGGTGGCATTCCTGAGTGGTTGGTGTTAAAGATGTGTCACATAGGCAGGCTAGCGGTTCAAAAGTTAAAATCCTGGTAAGGCCTCTTTTCCCTGAGGAGCCATGTAAAATGAGACCCAGAGTCCTAAGTGAGATTTTTTAGCCTCTTTGTTCTTTATGTATGTTTCCCTTTTGCTTTCTTTAGGAATTAGCAACAACAACAAAAAAAAAAATCTTTTTTTTTTTTTCAATTTGGCTTGTTTTAGCTGTACTAGTTGGAAAGCAAGGAATGGGTTTAAGTCTAAACTTAACCATTTGTTAAAGGCTGGGATGTCTGGGGGAGGGAGGTGATAGAACAGTCCAGAAAGAGAGGTTCTTCCTTCTCTTCCTTCGCCTCCCTCCTTCCACCTCCAAAGAGCAGCTGAAACTCTCAGGGTCCAGGCGTGGTCAGTCCATGACCCCTGCCAGTGCCAACCTTGGCAGATAGGGCTTTTATTGAGGAAGGCAACATTTCCTTATCACTCGTGAACGAAAAAGTGGATTTCCAGCTGGTTGGAAGTTCCAGTATTGCTACAAAGATGTGAAAAAATACAGGACAGTATTTTGAAGGGGAGGAACTACCCTCTCTTTAGGCTGGGAGTTAACTCCCTTAGGCAGTTCTTAACTCTTTTTAGCTTCCTCTCCTCCTCCTTTTCTGAACCCACATACTCTCCCACGAGAATTTTCTACAACACTGACAGTGAAGAGGCTGTGGAGGAGGAGGTACAGATTGCCTCTACAGGGAGCTTGAAAGTCAGGGAAATGCCTATAGCTGCAACTTTGACCAAAGAAGGGAGCTGTTTTCTACTCGTTATTGTTTTGTTTTGTTTTGTTTTTTTACTTTATTTATTTATGGCTGTGTTGGGTCTTCGTTGCTGCACGTGGGCTTTCTCTAGTTACGGTGAGCGGGGGCTACTCTTTGTTGCAGTCCGTGGGCTTCTCATTGCGATGGCTTCTCTTGTGGAGCATGGGCTCTAGGCACGTGGGCTTCAGTAGTTGTGGCATGAAGGCTCAGTAGTTGTGGCTCGCGGACTCTAGAGCACAGGCTCAGTAGTTGTGGCTCACGGGCTTAGTTGCTCCGCGGCATGTGGGATCTTCCTGGACCAGGGATTGAACCCATGTCCCCTGCATTGGCAGGCGGATTCTTAACCACTGCACCACCAGGGAAGTCCTCTGTTCGTATTTATATTCTTAAATTAGTTGTTCATTTGTTTTGTTCTACATTTATCAGAATTATCTTCCTGATTCATGTCAAGCAGCAATTTTGGAAATGCCTTAGAGACTGAATATTAAAGCTGCAAATAAATAGAGCCTCTTTTGATGTTCTTTTGTTTGGCTTGGTTTTGTTCCGTTTTGCATTTTTAAAATATCACTAAGTTTTGAGGATGTGAGTTTTCTCAAGTTCAGGGTTGACCAATCATCTTCTTGACATTTTTGCCAAAAATATTCTCACCTTTTGTACTTTGTTAAATCATCCAGAGTCTCTAATAAGAGAATAAGGAGGTAATCTAAAATCTCATGGTGATATATCGTTAAAGACAACTTTTGTTAATCTACCTTAATAGTCAAGAGCAATGATGTCAGTAATACAAAAAGCAAGTATTAAATTTTCTGGTTCTAAATGCAGTTTGCATGGTTTTGCTGTTATGTTATTGTTAATAGTGTTTTGCCTAATCTAGTACAATTCAGGAGTCCAAATATGGGTTTAAATTTTGCACTTGTTGACCCACAAAGTGAAAATCTCAGTGTTCAACATTGAAATCTTTTTAACATTTTAATTTTAATTTGGTAATTGTTAGACTAGAAGAAGAGGTGGTGGTAGAGAAGTAGAGTAGTATCAGCAGTACTTGATAGGCCTGAATAACAGGCAGAAAATGGAAGATTATGCTGTTGGCATAAATGGCTCTACAGTTACACTCAGTAAATGTCTTTTTGTGTTGGTTCTTGTTTTCCCTCCTTAACAGTGTATGCTCTCCTCAGTGTAATACAGGAAAGGCTAGTACCATTGGAGCTAGTATCTAGCTTACACTTTTATTTTACTTGAATATACATCCTCCTGAATTGGGACCGAGATAACCATCCTTGTCAGATAGAAACTGGAGCAGGCAGCTGAAATGACGACCACGTTAAGGGTTTTAACCCTTCCCTTTTCATTTGGCAGTAGTCTCTATGACTCTTAGGAAAGCAGTAGAGCATCTTTTCCTATACATTTTTTCATATGGATTATTTCCTAACCTCGTAGACCCACATAGAATGTCGTTAGAAACACAGCACAGCTTGACATTGATTAAACCGAAATTCTAAAACCCATGTAACCTATTAACAGGATCTCTTCGTTTGGCTACTCAGTGGTAGAAGCTCTTCTCCCCTTTTATCAGGAAGAGGTGTCCTTGCACTGAGTACTTGGATACCTTTCGAGTTAATGCCAGCCTCTGTGCTAACCTTCCTTCTCCTTTTCCTCCGAACAGCTGTCGCTGAAGTGTAGAGCTCCTGAAGTCTCCCAGTACATCTATCAGGTCTACGACAGCATTTTGAAAAACTAATAGACTGGTCCGGTGCCCTCTGGCCACCCTGTGATCGGTGCAAGCCAAGAACTCTTAACTGGAAGAAAATTGTATTGCCGTGTAGAATCTGAACCCAAACACACTGAGGCCACCCACCAAGGTAGTGACTAGTCTAACCTGTGCTAACATTAGGGCACAACCTGTTGGATAGTTTTAGCTTCCTGTGACCATTTGTAACCACTGCTTCAATCACTTCCCACCTCGTGCCACCTGCTGCTATCTGTCCTTACTTGTGGGCCTCTCCATCCTGTACCAGTGGCTGGCATTTTTGAGTGTAGTTTGATATTTTGTAATCGACAGCTCGTTTCAAAAGCGGAAAAAGACAAAAAAAAATTAAAGCAAGGAAAAGTGTCACTGAAACGTAAACTGCACTTTATTGTTTTATATTTTTGTACATATGAGAAATTGAGGGAATAGTGTGTAACTGATAAAAAGTGTTAAAACAACCGCACAGTCCTGGAGGAAGAGACGCAGTTTCTTGCCCACCCCATTAGGGGATTTTTGTCTGTGGCAGCCTTGTCCCTGATCACTTTTTTTCCTCTCCAAACTCCTTTTCCTTGTGATTCCCCCTGCCCCGTATTATCATCTCCTCTGATGCTCTGCAGTTAGGAATGGTGGTCTTTCTTGAATGGTGCTGCAGGGTGCAGGAAATAGGACCTGTCAGCATTGAGGCTGAGAAAAATGAGAACTTACTACATTCCTTTCCACTGATCTAATCTATTAATAACACTGATTAAGGAATTTGAATAGAGATGGGAAACAGGAACCAAAATGCCCTTCCCCCATCTCCCGCTCTGGATTTATTTTAACTCTCAGGTCCAATTCAGATCTAAAATCTTAGTTTTAGAGTTGAAACAGACTTTAAGTAATAACTTACCCAACCTTTTTTTTCTAAAAAGGAAAAAGATAAAAGACAAACAGGGTGTTATTGCCTAAGGCCTGTTAATGATCAGTAGCAGAGGTGGGGGAGTGGGTCTCCGAAGTCCTCATCAGTGTTGTCTTCACTGCAGGACCGGCTCCATGACTTTCTTCCTTCAATGCCTTTCTTTTACCTTTTCTGTGCCTGCTTCTTTATGGCTCTTCTCATACTTCATACAGATTTTGGCACTCCATTCATTGGCATCCGGTAGCAGCAGAGTATCTTTCCAGGGACTTGAAGGTAAATCCTGATGCCAGAATGAAGGAGTAGCTAATAGTCTCCTGGAGCCGCAGTTCTTGAGGCCAGCAGGATGGGTGCAGGGATGAAGTGAGCTTCGGGATGCCACAGATTCACTTGATCCTTCAGTTCTCTATCTGCTCTTTACTTGTATTGCTTAGGCTCCAAGGCAATTGAGATCACCTAGAGGGCCAAGCGGTTCTTTTCATCTCTCAAAAGATTGGGAGATGTGAGGACCCCCTGCCCCCTGGACACATTGGGTGTGATCTGTCAAGGAATGCTTCATGCCTGGAACACCAGTCTGTTTAGCAGAGTTCACACTGTTTCATCTGTGGGCACCTGTGCCGACCAGTGCCCAGGATTCAGGGTCCGTGACCAAGACTGCTTCTCAGATGCCCCTGCTCAAATCAGAGGCACTTGGGTCCAAAGGCCTCATGTAGGACCCAGACCTAAGAGTGAGTCCAAGAGAAGGAGGAATCATAGAAAACAAGAGCAGAAACTACCCCCCAACCCTGTCGCAAGTGAAATGACTGTGATTCATACCAGTTGCAAAGTTTGGGGGTGCAGGTCCCCCAAAGCAGCTTCTTAAACCTTGAGAATCTCCGAGAGAAGAATTTCTGGGGTGAGGGTCAGGAGCCATGTCCTGCGCTCACCACCCCTCGGGCACGTGGAGATCAGGAAGTAGCACAGGATTGCGTGTGGGAGGTGGGTCAGTTGGTGACAGGTGGGGTAGAAAAGCAGGTGGGTAAAGTCCCCTTTTTGGGAAATCACTCGTGGAGTCAGTTGGATACAAGCAGTGAAGAAGGTCCACACTACAAAGGCAGTGTTCTCATCTCAAAGCAAACTGCAGTTCCAGAAGGAAGAGCGTGTGTCAGGGCAAGCAGACGAGACAATTTTGCACCAAGATACGTTCCTCCACCCCTGAAACCAGGCTTCTCTCAGCCTCCCCGGCAGTGAGGGGAAACAGCTGCTGTTCTCAGCTGACCTGACTGAGCCAATCCGCGTGCGAACTCTTCACTCCTTGGAGAGGCTGCCTCCCGGTTTGCCCCTGAGCAGTTAGGGAGGGATTCTGTTCCACGGAAAGGACCTCTCTCCTGAGGAGACAAAGCCTGTTGCCTCCACCACAGCTTCCCTTTGGGCCCATCTCAAGCCTGGCCAAACTGGGGATCGGAGTGGAGATTGCCCTGCATTCCCCTCTCCTCTGCCTCAGTATGTCTTTGTAACGTCAGCTGGTGTCTTACAAAGGGCAAGGGAAACACACACACTCACCCAGAACTCTTGCTGGTCAGAGATTCCCTGAGTGTCTGTCCTCGCCCGAGCCCATTTTGTGTGTCTGTGTTGTGAACCTTGGGACTCTGGAGAGAAGGGGGTGGGGGGGGAGTGGTAAACGTTGCCCAGTGAAGGCTTATCATTCTTTTGTTGTTGGGATCTGTTCTTGGGGAGGGTGGGGGTCAGGGGAAGCTTGACTTTGTCTTCGTCAATAAACTCTCATTTACATAAAATGAAGTTTGTGCCTATGTACTTTGTTCCCAGAGTGACAATCTAGGACAAGACACAGCTGGCCAAGGGAGGGATGGGCATTAATAAGCATTCTATTAGAACTTGCCTTTTGGCTGTCCTAACCCTCCCAGGGATTTAGCCAGATGAAATTAAGATTGGCCTGAGGAAGGATCATATGTCTCAGAGGCTCCTCTTAACCAAGCCCCCATCACCATCACCACACAGGCATTTCGCCGCAGGCAGGGAGTGCTCGCAGGAGCCCATCCGTCTTCCCTGGCAGGTCCCCTGCTAGGACCCAAAGCAGATGGTCCAGGGGCAGGCAGCCAGCCAGGCACAGGGGCAGAAGGAGCACAGCAGAGCTTCTCGTCGGTGTCCTCTTACCCAGGACGTTCCACTAATGAATTTATAAAAGCGTCTCAGATCTGCACTCAGGGCCTGCATGTTCCCAAGTGGATAGAATTAATGCTGCTTTCAAGCAAACTTCCCAAGGAGTTCATATCTAATCACCTGCATTTGTGTTGCGGGGGGACACGTGAGCCAGGTGTGGTCAAGCTAGAGGCCCTGCCCCTGGTTGTGATGAGTGGACAGCGTCTGAAGTCTCCCACAGCCTGGAGTGGGGGAAGGAGGCTGAGGGATCCAATGCCCAGATGCCCTGAGCCTCTCTCACCAGTAGAGTGAGTGTAGGTAAGGTGCTTTGCACCATGCTTGGCAGAGTAACTGCTTTTATTACGTGGATGTCCAGACACCGTGAACAAACTGCCTTTGGCAGCTAGGAACTCTCGGAGCTCTTGGCTGTCTCCACGGGCTGGCTGCAGTTAGACTGCGCTCTAATTGGAGTAACACTTAGGGTGGTGTGGGGTCAGAGTCAGAGATATGAAGAGGGAGGGGCCTTACTGAGGTCTCATTGGGTTCACCAGCTGAGAGTGTCAATTTTGGCCCAGAAAATCCTTGGGACAGAAGCTTCCAACTCTTGGGTGCACATCGATATCACCCAAGAGCTTTCACAAAAGGCTGATGATTCTTGGCCAGTCGGGTGGGGCCTGGGGCAATCTGCATTTCAGAAGACTCCTCAGATGTTTCTAGAAGTGCTGGATTGAGACTCACTGCCAGAGAAAGACTCACACTTGTCTGCCTCCTGCCTCTCCTGCAGTAATGGTGCTCTTGTGGCAGTTGAAAAACGGTAAAGCACTTTCATGCACAAGACGCGCGAGATGCCTGCCCATTCGTGAATGGAGAGCGTTATCCCCGTTTTTCAGGTGAGAGAAGGCAAAGCCACGTCTTCTGATTCCCTCTGTCCTTAACTACTACAGCTTCCCTTCATCTGTGCCACCAGGCCAAAAGCCAGCCTTGCTAAGCCCCTGAGGTCCCAGTGTGTTCAGTCTCCAAAAGCAGGGTATACTGGCCCCCAGACCTCCACCTGAGATTGCACCATCCTTCTCTGCCCCCACCCCCCGCCACCAGAGATCTCAGGTACATTGTTTCTGAGGCCAGAAAACAGCTGAGGACTCCCGGGTTGGAGCCTTCCTACTCCCACCTCATGCACTGATGCTTTTTCTGGTTTTGCCTGGACCCAGATTTCTTTTCCTGCCACCCCCAGCTCCAGGAGGCAAGAGCCTGTTTATTTTAATACCTGGTGTGGCACTTGGGAAAGATCACACCTCCCCCGTCGTTACCCATTTCTGTCTCCTGAACACTAATCCTAGAATCCCCACCAGCCCCCAGACATGTTATTAGCAACAAGGATGTTTCTTGAAAAGTTTCCGAGTTGGCTCCAAACTTGCCATCTCAGTTTCCCATTTAGCTTTTGCCCTGCTGTTCTTGATGCTGCCAACAAGAGGAAGACTAATTTAGGGATTGGTTAGACCCAGATGGACTTCATTTCCGGAATTATCCTTTTGAGACAGGACTGCCCCAATACTCTGGGACTGAGAGAACTCCACTACCCGCCTTCTCCCACTGGGTAGGTATTAGAGGAGGATATTCTAGTCTAGCCTAGCCTCTGGCTTTCCCTCCCTTGTTTCATTCACTCTCCACTTATGGTCAAAGGCCCCAGGATCTGGCTAGCCAGCTTCTGAAAGCCAGTGGGATCCTCGGCTACGATGGAGCAAGGGCGGCGGAGTGGCAGGTTCGGGTCCTCGTCCTCTCTGTCCCGCTCCGTGTCTGGGCTTCAGATGCTGCAGGTGGACCCATGCATTCCATGCCCTTAAACCTCAGGCGTCCTCAGCTGAACCAGAGCCACAGACTAAGGACAGAGCCTCTCAGGCTTTTTCACCAAGGTAATCCTAATCATAGAAGAGTGAATAGGCTCCTAGGGGCGTACATCCTTAGACCTCGGCGAACCAAGATGATTTAACCGAGTCTTAAATTCAGGCACATTTTGCATTTTATGTTAATATTATGGGTTTGTTTTTTTATGTAAGATACAATGCTTTAAATGACCCATCACTGCAAGCCAGTGTGAGGCCCCTTAATGAACCTGTGGCTTTGTGTTCTCCTAGTATAGCTAAGTTGAGAATTCTGAGAAGCCTGGCCGCAAGGTGTGTGTGAGCATTGCATGATTTCTCGTTTCTAGTCTCCCTTGGGCTGAAATAGAACCAGAATGGCGGGCCATAGCCTGGGGGAGTAGACATAAATTCTGGGATCCTTGGGCGGGGTAAGGATGAAAGATTTTCAAATACAGTGGGGGGATTGGTAGTGCCCTGGATGATTTAATCAAGTTTAGGAGTCTCTTGGTTGACTTGGTTGACCGTTGCATTTCCACAGGGCCAGTAAATCTGATGTCTCCAGAACAAAAGTGGCACTCCAGCAGGGGGCCCCCTGTCTCCTTCTCAGCCCTCCATTTGCTTCTAGCTGCCCTGGCCCTTCTCTGCAAAGCCCTACCCAGCACCCGGGAGCCGTCTTAGCATAAGTGGAAATGGAAACGCTTTCCCAAGGTCATGTTCAGCCTTCCCTCTGAATGGCTGTGTCTCTAAAACAGAAAAGAAAAACGAAAGGCCACACAGTGAGACTCCACGCCAGGCACTGCGTTACAGACTCTACACACCACAGGCTCATTTATGCTGTGGGGACAACTGATCACCTCTTCATTTTACAAATAAGGCATAGAGTTCGGAGCGTTCAAGTAATTTGCCTTCAGTCGCGTAGTAAGTGGTAGGGCCAGGACCTAAATCCAGATCTGCTTGATTCTGAAGCCCAGGCTCGTAACCACTGTACTCTCTGTCTGGACGGGAGAGGGAAGGGGAGTGACCGGGAGGGTGCTCAGCCTGCTAGTACTAGAAAGAATAGGAAGGAAGTCACAGTGCAGTGCGGGATGCTGGGTCCAGGGGTAAAAGCACTTGGGAGATCTCTCCCAGCTTCCCCCTCCTCCTCCCTGCACCACTGACCAGGTTGCTGCCCTGCTTCAAAACGCTTACAGGCTATCCCAGCCAAACAGGGCTAGATCCCAACTCCTTCCTCGGCAGTCAAGGCCTTCGTGACTTCACCTCCACCAACCTCTCAGCCTCCTCTCCCTGTGCTTCCAGCCCCCCGCCCCCACTGCCATGCCTGTCTGTGTCCTGGACCCCCTTCTCAAACCCCTGTAATTGCTCCCAACTTCTCTCATCTGAACCCTCCTCTTCCACACCCTCCCCGACCCTGGCACCCGAAATCCACTTCTTTCAAGGTTTCTTCCTTGAAAGTTGCCTCCTCCGAAGCCTCCACTGACTCCTCTCCCTAGTTGGCCTGCTGCCTCTACCCTTCCCCAGAACCTTGACTCTGCACACATCACGTATTCGCGCCACGTGTGTGCTTCTGGCCTCCCTGATGAACTGTGGGCCCCTGGCCAAGTTCGTCAGTGGCTGCCCCTCTAGAGACTCCCGATTTTTGTCTTCCGCATTTTACACTTCAGTAAGACCAGTCACTCAACCTCTCTCAGCCTCAACTATCTCATCTGTAAAACGGGGGAAACAGAATCTACCTCATAGTATTGTGAGCGTTAACTCTGAAGATGCAGGCAAAGCTGAGAGCACATGGCCTGGCACATACTCATTAAATGTTAGCTACCCGTGAGGAATGACACTGACCACGACGGTTTTAGAGTAAATACACGGGCGATTCTGCCCTCTCCCCTGGCAAATGCTGGCATCACCCCCTCTGGAGAGGAGAGGGGAGGGGAGCAGTCGTTTCAGGGGATGGAGGTCATTCGTTGGCCTGGGATGAGCTTTGCTTTGCCAGCCTGCTCTGCTCTTCTTTCCCTGCTGCAGTGAGGGGTGAAAATGACCGCCCTTCGCAGTCCTCCGGTGCGGTGGCGGAGAGGAGTCTGGATGCCTCTCTAGCACACGGTGCGAGGCACACAGTGGGCGACCGTCCAATGACTGAACTGGGAAGGGTCAGAAGAGACCTAGAGAGGGAACCTGGGGTGTGTGGCGGGGGTGGGATATGGAGTGAAGCCAAAGGCTTTAGGGCCTCTCCGGTCCCTTTCTCCCAGCCCTCCAGGTTAGAGCTAAAAATACCGCAGGGAGAGTCGGGAGGGGTGAAGGTCGAGGCTCGGGATTAAAGAATTTGTCCAGGGCTTCCCAAGTGAATATGGCAGGCTCAGGGACCCAGCAGAACGCCAGCGGGGCACGCCCCCCCCGCCCCCCGCCCCCCGCCCCGCTCCCGCCTCCTCCTCCTCCCAGCGCGAGCGGGCGGCGCGCTCCGGAGGGAGAACCGGGCTGGAGGTGTCCTACCCACTCGGCGGCCAGCACCTGCTCCCCCCGCGCCCGCCCTGAGCCCGCCCAGACTGCGCAGCCGGGGGCGCTCCCACCTCTCTCCCCCCGGGCCGGGGAGCCGGGGGGCAGCACCGGAGCCCGGGGGGAGCGCGGCCCCACCGGCCGGCCGGCCCGGGCTGGGGGTAGCTAGGACGGCCCCGGGTAAGCGGCGGGAGGCTGGGCGAGCGGGCGGGCCGGGGCCGGGGTGGGTCGGTGGGGGAATGGGGGGGCGCGACGGGGGCGAGGAGGGAGGTGGGGGCCGGTGGACTGGCGGGGAAGCGGCGCGGGGCGGCCACGTGAGAGCTGGTGCTGGCGGGGTGGTGAGGGGGGTTGCCTGCGAGGTGCTGGAGGCGGAGAGCAGGCTGGGCTCCGGCATCCCCCTCACCCAGAACTCCCACCAATCAGGTCATAGGGAGCTCAGCATCCTCCGACGCCCGCACCCACCCACTCCCACATGAATGTGATGGGGACAGACAGCGGGCAGACGTGTGACTCGGCCCACGGGACCTGCAAAGCCCCCGCCCTCAGTCTGGGGCTGGGACTCAGGCGTCCAGGTCCAGGGAAGAGGAACCAGAAGCAGGCTTTGGCCCCAGTGTATGTCCCCGGGCGCTGTCTGCAGACTCACTGCAGAGCACAGGCCTTGGGGAGGGAGGCTCAGGGGCCTGGGCCCTGCCTCTCCGGACAGCCCTCTTCCACCCCCACCCAGCTGGGGATGTTGCATTAACAAACACTTAGACCCAGGACCCCCGCCTGGGAAGCGGGAGGGGACACCAGTCACCTCTGAGTCAGGGCCCGGTGACTTCCAGGAGGCTGTCCCCAGCCTAGGGGCCTCTCTGGCACCCCCTCCCTGGCTCTAGCGCTGTGCCCCGCTTTTATTTCCCAGCTATTCCCCCAGAAAGGGTTGATTTCAGGGCAGGGAATGGGTTATCCAGGAGAATCTGCAGGTAGGCTACATCCTAGATCCCTCTAAGTTGCCACACCCAGGGGGAGGCCGGGACACTTCTGGCATTCTTTGCCTTCTCTTCCTCCCCTAAGGTGCCCCCTCCCCACCTGCTTGTGCTGGTTATGTAATTAACCCAGCTGAGGCTCTCTGCCATGCTGACAGTGTCCAGGGATGCCTGAGAAGCCCAGGGCCCTGGAGGGATTTATGGGGAGGAGGGGCTGGTACTTCCCCCAGTTGGGAGCTCACAGAAATAGAGAAGCACTTGTTGGGAAGGGACACTGCATGGGACAAGAAGGAGATGAGAGTCCTAGTCTTAGTTGACAGCTCAACTGGCTATGTGGTCTTCACATCCCTAAATCTGTGGGGGTTTTTTTGGTTTTGTTTTTACCTTCAATAAAATGGGGAGAATTGCACACACACACACACACACTACACGTACGTGAGCAACAGTGCAGTAGTGCAGAGTGACCCATCTGGGATGGCTAGGAGGTCCCATTGTGATCGATGAGTGAAGGACCCTGTGCATAACAATGGCCACTGTTTATTGAACACCTACTCCCTATGGCCTCACCACACCCTATGACGTTCCTTGCCGAAGATCACACTTTAGGTGAGTGGCAGAGCGGAGAATCCAATGCTGGTGGACCTCACTCCAGATCCTGCCATTGGTTTACTATGCTGTATGTGCACATGCCCTGTGGATTGGGTCCTGTGAACCAGGACGGACTGGACTGAGGGACATTGTGCTGTGAGCTGTGCACATGTGGAAAGGGCATGCATCCACAGAGAAAACATGCATATGTGCTGGAAAGCATGGCCCCATCCAAACCCAGCGAACCCATCTGCCTTGGACCCATTTAGCAGGCACTGGTGTCACCCTCCTGGGAATAGTCCCCAAACAGGAGGTCTCAGGCATGTACCAGCCTCCCTGGTCACCATCCTCAACAGAAAGAGAAGGCACCTGGCTAAGAGGCTTACTTGGATTATCTCAGGAGTAGAGGCTAATGATCCTTCTTTGTAAGTGTGCAGAATGTGGCTCAGATCCACAGCCAGGAAACATCAGAGCTGGATTTATACCCATGCTCTAAAGTCATTGAAACTGAGCAAGAATGAGCTAACGAATCCATGTCAAGGTTCAATCCTGTAGCAGCCCTTTCCCGGGCACCTGCTGCATGCCAGGTCCTCTGAGCTCAGGGCGTTGCCAGATAATCAGACCCAGCCCTAGGCCTGTGGCCTACGCCAGCTAGAATCCCTAAACTTGGAAGCTGAAGTAATGCAACATTGTAGAAAGGAGTAGCCCGCCTTTCCCAGCTGTGTGCCTGGGCTCGTGTCTCCCTCCCTCTGGGTCTTCTCTCCAAAGTGGGAATACCTATTACCTGGGGATACTGTATCGACTAAGGATAACCACGTGGGCATGCTGACTTAGAGTGACTGCTCCACAGGTGTCACGCTCCACAGAGCCAAGGTCATCGGCCAATCCAGGGATTCTCAGCAGGGGGTACTTGGGAAGGTGGGGGGAGCGCATTTTGGGTCATCATGGTCACTAGAGGCTGCTGCTGGCAAGTACCTCCAGGCAGCTGGGGATGTGAAATGCCCTGCTCGATAAAGAATTCTCTCTCCACAAAATGCCAGGACTGCCTCCACGGAGACGCACTGGCCTGGTCTCACTCCTGAGGACCAGGAGACCAAGGCTGCGAGGCGTTGCTGTCTTGCCCCGGGCTCAGTGGGAAGGCTGGGACTTGAAGCCAAGTCTAGTGCTCTTTCCACTCCGCTCTGTGGCCTGCCTGGGTCTGGGAGTCAGACCGGCCAAAAGTCAGGTCATAATACAAGTCAAGAAAGATTGATTCCCACTGATGGGATGGACGGCAGGGAGAATGGAGAAGGAAGGATGGGGAGGTTCTGGATAGATGGGATAGGGGCTCTGGGGAAGGGAAGGCATCCCAAGTGGCAGTAGTAACAGCTCCAGTGACATTCCCCAAGGTAGAAAAGTACAGGATCTGTCCAAGGAGAAGCCAGCCCCACCGAGCCCACCTCTTGTTTCCACAGTCCAGGTGGAGGCCGCAGAGGGCCCAGGGCGAGCAGGGGCAGCGATGATTGGTCCTGACGGTGGCTGAGCCCCCAGCCCCTGGAATATGCAGCCCGGGGGAGCCCCAGGCAGCGGCGAGGACGAGGTGGCGGAGCGGGGCGGGAGGCATGGTCTCCACCTACCGGGTGGCCGTGCTGGGGGCGCGAGGCGTGGGCAAGAGTGCCATCGTGCGCCAGTTCCTGTACAACGAGTTCAGCGAGGTCTGCGTGCCCACCACCGCCCGCCGCCTCTACCTGCCTGCTGTCGTCATGAACGGCCACGTGCACGACCTCCAGATCCTCGACTTCCCGCCCATCAGCGCCTTCCCTGTCAATACGCTGCAGGTAGGGGGGTGGGGGTGGGGGACAGGGTGGAGGACAGCCTGGACCCCAACCCTCTCCTGGCTCCGGCCCTATCGCTGGCTTTGAGAACTCCGCGCTGCACCACGGGCCGCCCTACTTAGAGCCGTGCCAGGAATCCATTCATTTGTGCACTGGTTTATTCAACAAATATTTGACGAACGTCTAATGTGTACCAGGCCCTGTGGTGGGCACTGGGATAGAATGGTGCTCAAGACAGAGCGGTTTGCTCTCAAGGAACTCATAGTCTGGTGAGAAGACAAACAGTCAGCTATTACATAGTTCCATGAGTGTCATGATTGCAGGGGATGCGGGAACTAAGACAGCCCTGAAGGGGCATCTGCCCCACGAAGGTGTGTGAGGGTGGGGGTCACAGGAGGTGATGTCTCGGTTAGGTAGGATCTGGGCAGGTAAGGGTCAGTGAAGAGAAAGGCATAGAGCGCCGGATGCCTGTTAATATTCTGGGCGCTGCCTCCCGTGGCCTCAGACCCATGTCATCTGTAGAAGGGACAACAGAAGAAAAGGCTGGGACCTGGGAAAGGTGTGTTCTCAGAGACTGGAGACCCCAATCAGATCTCTTGCCCAAGGGCCTTTTCTCTTAAGTGATGCTTTGTCCCCTGACCTCAGGACTGGCCCTCGGGGCGGCCTTTCCTGCAGGGGTTGGATTCAGATGCCCCCAGTGCCCTGGCTTACAGGGTCCAGCCTGCAGGACCGGGTCCTTCTTCCTGCTCTCTACCTCTGGCTTGAGCGGGAGTCGGGTGCAGGGGGAAGCTGAGCCCTAGACATGTTGGCTCACCAAAGAAGCCCCTGACCAGAGCGCAGAGTTTCTCCAGGAAGGCTAGGCACGGTGGAGGCCCAGAGGGCACGGGCCACCGCTTGGCCAGTTGTAACTGTGCAAATACAGCAATCTCTCGGGTGGAGCTGGGGGCTGGGGAAGGGCTCAGGCTCAGCACTGTGTCAGCAACTCCGGGCAGGAGGACCTTCGCCCAACCTCGGGGACACCTGTCTCTCCCATCCTAGGTGTGGGAGCATCAGCACCAAAGACAAAAGCCTGATCCACACATCACGCCTTGGAAACAGTGAGGTCAGGGCAGTGGGTCCAAGGTCAGGTGTTCTATTTCTCCTCCAGAGGAGACTAACGGTAGCCTGAGTGGATGCTCAGATCCCGCTCTGGTCCTGTGCATTGAGCTGGGTTTATTTTTCACATTTTGTTGTGTGTTTAAATTGTAATTTCGATTTTGGAATCGGGAAGGTACAATTTAAAAGCCCAAATCTTGTTAAAACAAACAAACAAAAAGTACACCCAAAGAAATCTCAGTCCCACCCCTGCTCCCTTTACCCCAGTTCTTGTCCCATTCTATAGCCATTCTCATTGGTTTTTTTATTCACACTTCCAGTTTTTCTTTACATAAATAAGAAAATGTATTCTTATTCCACTTCCCTTCTTGCATTAAAAACAAAAACAAAAACAAAACTGCACCTTTTGTTTGTTTGTTTGGGTTTTTTCTTTATTTATTTGGCTTGACATTTTAACCTGTAGGTCTTTCCATGTCAGTATCTAGAGGTCTTCATTCTTTTTTCATGGCTACACTGTATTCCATTGGAAAGATGTACTATGAAGTCCCCTCTTGTTGGACAAGTGGGTTGTTTCCAAACTTTTGCTTCAAAACAATGCCACAGTGAATAGCCTTGTAATAGTCATTTTGTACACAGGAAGGCATATCTGTGGGATCGATTTCTGGAAATGGCATTGCTAGGTCAAAGGATAAATGCAACTGGAGTTTGGAAGGTGCCAGATTCCACACACCCCTCCATTAAGGTGCATAGTTTGTGCTCCTGTGAGGGATGTTACATGAGTGCTTGTTTCCCTAAAGCCATCAGAGTGTATTGTCAAACTTTTGGATTTTTGACAGTCCGATAGATGAGATAGGATAATCTCAGTGTACTTTTTATTTACATCTCTGCTTATGAGTGAAGTCGAGCATCTTTTCATATGTTTGAGGGCCTTTGCCTTTGTTTTTCTGAAAACTATTAATGCCTTTGCCCATCTTCCTGTTGGATCATTGGCCTTTTCTTCCTGATTGACCCTGAGTTTTGGACTCTACAAGGATGTCCAAGACGTCACCCCTGAAGCACAAGAAAGGGACTTTGGGCAAAGAAATGCTGAGACAGGATCCTGCATGCCCCAAAGATCAAATAGTAGAATCCCACTGGTTACTGTCTGAAAATAAGAATACATTCTTCCCCAAAGCCAGATGAGATCCAGCCCAGGAGAGCGGCGTTTCTAGGGTCGTCTCAGCTCTTGCTTCTGCAGCCTCTCTCCTCCTATCAGAGAAGGAAGCTAAGGTTAGAGGGCGTGTGCAACCCACCCAAGGAACAAGCAGCAAATGCATGGTTGGCACCCAGGTGGCTGAGGCTCCCTCAGCTCCTGTGTCCTCGGAACTGGACTCAGTTTCCATTGCTCCTTCTCTGTCTTGATACAGCTCCAAGATGGTCTTTTACCATCTGGAATGCTGCATGGAGCTAGCTGGAAGGCAAGCTGAGCTTTCTTACTCCCTCCCTTCAATCAGGGGTAAAGGGGCAACCCAGCCAATCGGGAGCCTTCTTTCTCTCCCTTTTAGGAGCCCCCAGAGAGGAGTGGGTGGGAGGCAGCCTGGAGGCCCCCTTGAGGAGGTAGCATGTTGGGAGAGAGGTGGGGCTGTCCCCCTCGAAGGCTGGCAGCTGTTCCCTCTCCCCAGCAGAGAGCTGGAGGAATATGGGAGCCTCTCTGCCTATTTCCCCATCCCTCCCACTCCTGCTGATCTCCGCTCCATGCATGGAATGGAGGAGGAACAGCGTACGCTCTGGGGCCCCAAGCTCCCAGAGGTCCTGTGTCCAGTGCAATACAGTCTTTCCTGGCCTGAGAAACCAGTTCATGGTTTTCTATGATTTTAGATTTGTCCTCAGCATCTTCCCCCTGCACCAAAGTTAAAACTCAGCACAAAGAAAAGATGCCACATCATCTCCCTGGAGAAATCCACTGCAGCAGCTTCTAAGCCTTTGAATCGGGAAGTGCTTTTCTGGAGTCGGACTTAACGCTCCACCACGGTCGCCCAAGTCTTTCCCCTTTTAATCCTTCTCTGCAGTGTAGAACCAGCTGTAGTCCTCCATGCCTGATCCCTACCCCAATTCAGCTCCTAAGCTGGCACAGGAGATATGCCTGCCTCTCCCTCTAGTCTTTTGCCGGGGCTCTAGTTCCTAGAGAAAACCCTAGTTCCCCTTGTCCTGGGAGGCCCGTCTTTCCACACTCTGGCTGCTTTCTGCCGCTGCCCTTGCAATTCTCATCTGCTGGCAGGTTAATTAGCTAACTCATCTCTTAAGCAATCTTCTCTTTCGTGCACTCAGGTTTGCCTGGGGCCTGTTCAGCTTGAGCCCGGGCCCTTCCCAGAGAATTTGCCACCGGCATTCAGGAAGTTCCATCTCCCTGGAGCTGCCCTGGGGCCCTGCTCTACATCAGCCCCCATTAGGCATCCAGTCTCAACCTTTTTCTCCTCAGGCCTCTTCTTCTCAACTTTGAGGGCAGAGTGAAGCAAACAGAAGGGGTACCTCAGGTAGCAATCTAAGGGCTGTGTTACAGGCAGGAATTGGGTTGATTCCAGCACGGACCAGGTGGGATCCAGGACCGTGGAGAGTTCACCAGCCTAGGTAGTGCAATTAAAGAGCCTAGGAGGAGGAGGTATGTAAAAATGAAGAAGGCTGGACTCTGGTCCTCTCAGGAGCTCACAGCAGAAGTGGGGACCTGGGAATGGAAACAGCTCTGACCAAGGTATAATTGAACTGTTCTTAGAACACAGAAGATGAAGGGAATAGTCCCCTGCTTGCGGGAAGGCTTCTTAGAGGAGGAAGAGGCATCTGAGCTGAGGCCTGGGAAGATAGAGCGGATTTCAACAGGTCCAACAACTAGCTCAGGGCTGGGCTCCTAGAGGCGCTTAATAAATGTAATCGAACAAAGCACTGGATGGACGGATTGGGGGACAAAATGGGACAAGGCAGATCTCAGCTCCAGGAGTGCACAGGACAGACAGCGGCCCTGCCCCATCCTGGCTTGGAGGTGGGGAAGCCACACCTGAGCTCTGCCGTTGTGCCCTGGGCCTGGCCTCCTGGGGATCGGCGAGTGTGCAAGGCTTAGGGTGCAGTGGCAGGTGAGAGTGCTGTGTATGGCGGGAGGTGGCTGGGGGCAAGGGGAGCCCTTATGGTTGCTCTGACCTTGGTGCTGGCTGGGGGTGTTGCAGGAGTGGGCAGACGCCTGCTGCAGGGGACTCCGGAGCGTCCACGCCTACATCCTGGTCTACGACATCTGCTGCTTTGACAGCTTTGAGTACGTCAAGACCATCCGCCAGCAGATCCTAGAGACGAGGTGAGGGGCCAGGATACACTCCACTGCCACCTCAGTGGACGCCCCTATGCTGGCCACTTCCTGTGAAAAGGGTGCAGTGGGAGGGAAACAGATCACGTGCCTCTGGTTCCCACACACACTCAAACACACACTCACGACATTTTGCCGTCCCCGTTTCTGTTAACTCATTTGGGGACCCTTACCATGGGGTGGCTAGTCTAGTGCAGTAAAGAGCAGAGGCTAGGGGAAGGAGACTTCCAGGGCGCCTCAGCCGCATGGCTTTAAGCCAGGCTCAGGTTCCTCATCTGTACAATGGGGAGAACATTAACACCCACCTTTTGCATCAGTTGCGTCAGTTACAGCGCTGCGCCTGGAACAGATGGATGGTAGTAGTAGTATTGACCAGGCACAGCCCGCCCTTCTTGAAGTCCGGGGCCGGGGGGAGGTTGTGAGACTAGACTGTGGGGTTCTGAGATTCCCACCTCGCCCAGCAGGGTGATCGGCACCTCGGAGACGCCCATCATCATCGTGGGCAACAAGAGGGACCTGCAGCGCGGACGCGTGATCCCGCGCTGGAACGTGTCACACCTGGTGCGCAAGACCTGGAAGTGCGGCTACGTGGAGTGCTCGGCCAAGTACAACTGGCACATCCTGCTGCTCTTCAGCGAGCTGCTCAAGAGCGTCGGCTGCGCACGCTGCAAGCACGTGCACGCCGCCCTGCGCTTCCAGGGCGCGCTGCGCCGCAACCGCTGCGCCATCATGTGACGCCGCGCCCCACGGGCCGCAGCCCCGGCAGGCCTGGGCGGGGAGGGGCAGGAAGAGAACTCCTGGACCGCCCCCGCAGCCACGCCCTCCCCGGGAGAGGCGGAGGGCGAGAGGGAGTTTCCCCTTAGTTGCCCCGTCTTCCCCCCTCTCCCCAGTCTGTCTTCCTGGGCCGGCCGCCTTTAGTGCTGTAGTTCGTGCAGAGCCCGGCCGGGCCCCTAGGAGCGCCGTCGCCCCTGGGGGTTGGGGGTGAGCGCGTGACACGGAGGGCGGGGGTGGAGAGGTGCATTGTTGACCGGGCCCGCACCCGTCACCTCCAGAGAGTGTGTCTGTCATTGTTCCGCGTCTTCTTCTCCCGTGTCTGTCTGTCTGCCCAAGCGTCAGTTGGTCCTCAGCTGTCTTACCCACCCTCGCCACCTCCAGCTTCGTTCACAGGGCTCTCATTTTATCCACCCCCTGTCGCAGGTCCCGGCAGCACCTCTTCGTGAGGCCAGCCTTCTGACCGTCAGCACCACCGGCACGGGGCGGGGCGATGCGGGTGGCCCAGGGACCACAACCGGGGTCCGAGGGTTGAAGTCCTGGATCAGTCAGGGGGAGGAGGCAGAGCTCCCCCCGCTTCCAGGGAGACCTCCCTGCCCAACAGCCCCAATAGACGCAACAAGCTACCTTCCAGCCTTAACTCGATGGTCCGTCCCTGCGGGGTGCCCCTCTCCCACTTCCTGACCCTAAAGTCAGATCACCCTCTGGGTGCAACATTTTTTTCTTGACCGAGTGTGGAGAGGGATTGCCCACAAATGATAGATTTATTTCCATGATGCCAGCGTCCAGTGGTCTGCCAGACTGGAGGATGTTTGGGGGGGAGGGGGGGTGTCTGGTGGTGGGCGGGGTGTGGAGGGAAGCAGTCAGGTCGTGCCAGGGAAGACTCTTTCTCCCCATCTGACCCCAAGCTGACTGCCCCAGACCTTGCCCGCCTTGAATCTCCGATTACCCCGATTAATCTGGGGAGGGGCAGAGCCGGGAAAAGAATTATGGGAACCCCTATGCTTGGGGGAGATATACCGGCATCCCCACTCCTGGATGGAGGCCCTCAGGATCTGACGCCCCCTCGTCCCGACACCAGTTGGCCCCATGCCTTGACTCACTCCACCCCATTTTCTCCGGCTGCCTGGCCAGTTTCTACCTCTTGTCACCGGAGCTGATCACTGTCAGTTTTGTACCGATTTAGAAATAACAAAAGTAATGAAGATACTAGGAGTGACCTGCGGGATTACTGGGGGATTTGGAGGGCGGGAGAAATGGTGCGAGTTCCCGGCCGCCTAGCCAAGTCCTCCCTGAGGCTGAGCCCTCAGCCCTTCTGTGGTGGGAGGATAGCGAGGTCCCTTGTTAGAAGAGAGACGGAGAGAAGAGCCGAGCCTCGATGTAGCCAAGCTGTGGCGTATAGACCAGGAAACCAGGTAGCTCGGGGTGGTGATGGAGAGGAGTCTGGGGGAGGCGTCATGGGTGGCAAACTTCTCATCCAGATCCAGCGTGAGAGGGAAGCTTCGATGTTCTCTTCTGCTTCCCCAGGTGATTCCCACTCCGCTCACTGGGGGTGACGCAGCTCGACAGTGACTGCCCTGACCTTGGGCAGTCCAGTATTTGGGGGTTCTGGTCCCTGCTGTGCTGCATGACTTTGGGCAAGTGACCCACCCTCTCTGAGCCTCCCTCTGAAGCAGAGGAGGTGGCTTCCCTCCCCCCCACACCTTGGAGTGGCTGGGAGGGTAAGGAAGAGGGGCTGCCCCCCTTTATCCCCCGCATCCCTGCCCCCTGACTCACCAGGGGGATGGGGTGAGTGGTGACAGCATCTCACCTGCCCCATCACTGTCACCCCCCAGCTCTGAGGCACCTGAGGTGAGAGTGAGGGACCCAGGCCTCTGGCTGCCCCCTGTGGGAGCCGTTGGAATGTATTGCCTGGCTGGCCCCCTTCACCCACCCTCTCACCCCCGCTTCACCCCAGATCTTTGATTTTGATTCCTTCCGCCCCCGTTCTGAGTGTCTGTCCTTCACCCTGCCCTCCCTTCCCCAGGGTTTCCCACCACAGGGTCTGGAAGTGTGTGTGACGCCCACTGCGCTGTGATCAGAAGTCAGATTAAAAATCAGGGAGTGTTTTCCCTCGGTTCTGTACCAAGGTGTTGGCTCAGTTCCTGCCGTGGGAAGGAAGGGACTCCCTGCAGCGTTTCTGCCTGCTGAGCTCTGGAGGGACAGACAGTCTGGGCGATGAGGTGGCCTGAGTCCTAAAGCCCAGGCCCACCAGGAGAATGAAGGGAAAGGGAGAGAGCTGGGGACTCATCTCCTCTCCACCTACCCCGCCAGGTGATCAAAACCATTCAGAAGAGAAGCATAACATCTCCCTCTGCCACTTTCTTGGGAAGACTTTCAGAAGTGGACTCAATCCCAGCTTCTGCCTTTGTGTCTTCCTCCCGCTCATGGCCGAGGCTCTGCAGCGCCCCCCCCCCCCCCGCCCCGCCCCGGCCCACACCCATCATAACTCCAGGCGTGTCGATGTGTTAAGGAATGCTCTCAGCCATCCCTCTTGACTCAGTGATCTCAGTTCCCAGCCCCCAGAGCAAAGTTTTGAAGTCCTGCAGGAGCCTGTGTGGGGCGACCTTGTCCCTGTCCGTGATGCTGAGGCAGCAGCCTCTTCCAGGAGAGAAGGGCTGTCTGGCAAGGTCGGCTGGGGCTGCAGAGGGGAAACCTCTCTCACCCCAGCTCCCTCCCCCTCCTCCCCTCCGGTGGGAAAATGCTGCCACACCTTCCTGCACCGTGGTAGAGTGAAGAACTCAAGAGCTGGGGGCTCAGGGACAGACCCACTCATGTTTAATAACTTAGAAGAGCTGTGGAAATGGGCATGGCCGGAGGACAGAGCACAGGAATTTGGGGAGCTGTTCTGGGAGACAGTAGCCCTACCACCCTGGAATTGGACTGGGACTCATGGGTTGCCCTCCTGCTCAACCGACCAGATGGAGGCTCTGTTTGTCTTCTAAACTCTCCTGGCCAAGGCCCTGTATTGAGGTGAGGGACCTTTCTTTCTGTTCCTGCAGTTGGGAGTGCAACGAATACACGGGCATCTTTTCACTTCCCTCCTCCTCTAACCCACAGGCTCGGGGAGGAGAAGCGCCTTCTCACACCCAAGACTCCTCCTCAGGTGAGGCGGGGGCTTGATCAAGCTGCTGAGGCCCCTCCAAAGGTGGGGAGCTGCTCTCCAGGGGTGCAGCTGGCCCCTTCCTCTCCTCTCCCTCCTCCTTCTCCCCCAACGAGGCTCCAGCCCCCAGGGCTGCCTTCCCTCCATTGCTGCCCAGCACTGCTCTCACCAGCCTGCCCCTGGGGGGTGCCTTGGCTGGACCCAGGTGGAGGCAGGTCAACGGCTTGGGGATTCGTGAAGGCTGCTTCTCGGGCCTGTGGTCTCTCCGGGGCCGAATCCTGTGCCTGAGCTTCAGCTTGTAGATGGATGGGACTCTCCAGGGCTTCCGGAGTGTTCTCTTGCCCTTGCCTGGACATGCCTTGGCTTTATCAGAACTGGGGGCGGAGGGCGAAGGTGTGGAGGACTCTGGGGTGGCAGACACAGCAGGGGCTGAGCAGTCCTGCCCCCTTTGAGCTGGGACCTTCGTTGTCCCGGCGCCCTTGGCACTTGGGCGTGCTTTTGTCCTCAGCCCACTCTCTTCGGCTCCCAGTTGCCGTTTTGGGCTTCCTGGGCCTGCACTTGCAGCCGGCTTAGGGCAGCCTGTAGGGGCTGCCTTCCAGGCTCCCAGGTCCACCTTAAGGAGGGGTGGGGGGCCCTGAGCCAGTTCTTGGATGACTTTGTCATAAGGACCCCCAGGCTCAGGCCACCGCCCACCCAGACTGGGCACGTAGACTCCACTGCGAGGAACGACTCCAGACGCTGCGCCCTGGGGGCAGACAGCAGCCACCTCTAGCAGCTTCATGCTGGCCAAAAGCTGCTCCCCAAGGCTGTGGTGGATGGCTTGCTCCTTGATCCCACCCGAGGGCAGGGGAGTGCACCTCCCCTCCTGGTGCTGTGGGCCCAGGCCCCAGGGCTCTCCGGCCTCTGCTGTCACCTGGACATCCAGCTTCTGGTCCTCTTGCCTCTCTTCCACAGAGCAGTCCCCATGTCTGGACCCAGACAGGTCCCCAGTGACGGCCCTTAATGGAATGGGCCCTCTCCCCAGTTCTGTCCTGGGACCTCCACTTGCAGTCCCTGGAAAGCTTCTTCCCAGAGTCGGGGGGCAAGCTGGGGGCAACCGGACCAGGATCTTGGTGGGTCCTTTAACAGGGGATGGAGAATGGACAGATGCTGTCTCCCTAAGCTGGGAGGAGGCACCCTCGGCCTCATCCCCGGGTGGTGGCCTGGGGCCCACAGGCTTGGCTGGGCTGGAGGAACAAGGCAGGGGAGATGCTCCTCCTGCTGGTGTCCCTGTGGTAGTGGCCTCAGGGGCTTGGAGTCCCTGGGGGATGGGGGTCCTGGCACGAGTTCCCCAGCTGTCTGTCTGCTCATGAACCCAAGATGTGGGAGTCCTTCTCCTGGGGAGTTCAGGGGGGTATCTGTCCTCCCTCTTCCCTGAGGAGGTGCACTGTGTGCCTCGGCCCCTGGGAGTAGGTGAGGACTGGGGGCTCGGGGGGCTGTCCCCATCTGGCAGCTGCCTCCAACACGGGGCGAGTGACTTCTCCTGGCACCTGAAAGGGAGAATCATAGGTTATCGGCAGGGTTATCTGATCCAGTCCGCTGGCTCCCAGTCCCCTGGCTCTGCGAAGGGATGGCCTTTCCCCAGCCAGAACTCCCAGGGGGTCAGACTTCATGTTGAAGGAAGCAGATGCTCTCTCTCCCCCGTACCTGCCAGAGACTCTTCCTTACAGCAGATACTGTTTAAGTCTGTCCTCCCCCATTCCTTGTGTAGCAGATAGAAAGCAGCCTGGTCTGGACCCCAGGTTGCTTCAGATCCCACAACTACAGGTCACCAGTCTTGGGTGGGGAGGGTCTTAGTTTCTGCTCTACCATGAAATGGCAGAGGGACCGTGGGTAAGTCTGTTCCCTTTATGGGCCTCAGCCTCCTCATCTGTGAAACGGGAGGGTGTATGAAGTTAACTAGATGATCCTAAAGGTACTGGGTGTTTTTTGGTTCTGAACACCTGAGGTCTTGCTGGGATAGGGGCACTGCTGGGAGACTTGCTCCCCTTATCTTGGGGTGGGGTGGCCTCTGAGAATGTAGACTCCAAAGCAGGAAGAGGCCCTGCCCTGTCCCTCCCCAGTACCTCGGGAATGGTGCTGTCTCTCTGAGGATCCCTGCCCCTGCTCTCCGTTCACGGTGGGGTGTAGGGGAGGAGGCGGCAGGGGGCCTCTGCTTTCGACCTGAAGAGGTGTATGTCTTCCAGTCCACGGAGGGCAGGGGGCTCTGGGAGCGGCTGATGGTCATTGTAGGCTGGGGTTGTGAGGGCCCATCGTCCACCCTCACTTCATGCTGCACCAGTGGGACAGGGGGCTTCAGGAAGCTGCCCATCTTGTGTGCTACCAACACAGCCCCCCAGAGACAGGAGAGGAGGAAAGGGTTAAACTCCTGCTGATGGGGTCCACCGTTCCCTCCCCCAGCTGTCCCACACCCTGAATCCCGCATTAGAGACAGTGGGACCTACTGTGACAGTGACAGCACCAGAATTTCCTCAAGGGAGGGGTTTAGGGGATGAAATCTGGTCAGAGGGTCTGGCTGGGGGACTTGTTTAAAGCTGCAAGTCCACGTCTTTAGCTTAGATTGCATGCTTATTTGGGGTGGCTTGAGGTGCTGATGGACATTACGGGAAGACTAGAGGCCTTCCAAATCACGCTTGGCGCCTCCATCAGAGCCAGACCTAAGCCCTGACCACATGCCCTCATGACCAAATGCTGATTCTCTGTGTATTTGGCGCCACCTTGTGGCTCAAGTTGGTACTGCACCGTGGCTGGCCCGCTTTCCGCCTAGAGCTGAGAGGCCACCCACACCTGTACCTTCTACAGTATCTTCCTTCCTCCACCCCCTGCACACCTCTTGCCCCTGGAGATCAGGCCTACCTCCCGCGTCCGCTTCCGGCCTCCCGACATGGAGTCATAGGGAAAGGACTCTCAGGGGACTTACAGAGGGATGTGCACCGGCAGGGGTCATGTTTGTCCAGATAGTGACCGAGTGTGTCCCAGCCGCCCCCCACACGCACCATCACGTGGTTCCGGAGGATCTGCAGGGGGCAAGGGTGAGGTGGAGGGCAAGGTGAGGGAGTCCCCTCTCCATGGACCAGCCTGCAGGCCTTCAGCCCTTGCTCCCGTCCACGTACACATGCACACGTGTAGTTGGGAGCGTGCCTATGTTGCAGCCTGAGTCCCCTGCAGGACTGGCATCAGATAGCACATGTTGTCAAGGGTGGAGGCCAAGCTGACGAACAGCAAGCTGCCCCACGGCGAGACAAGGGATCTCCCAAGCACTGTGTAGTCTACCTCCCGACTCCCTCCTCTCCCTTCGCTGGGAAGCGGTTGACGCCTGCGCACGTTTGTATCAGAAACGGGGTGGGGGGCGCTGGCTTTGCTCTCGTGGTGTGTGTGTTAAAGGACCCGCAGGAGTCCTGGCCCGACTCCACTCCAGGTCACGTAGCCTCTCCAGGCGTCCACTTCCTTAGTGGAAACGGGGCGCCACAATCCATCCCCACCTGCTTCGCCGAGCTCTTGGCTCAGGCTCTGGGTGAGGGCCCAGGGAGCTGGCTCTGCCCCCAGGTGTGGCCCGACCCAAGGAGAAGAAGGCTTAGCTGTGCCCCTGAGCCGCTGGCCACACCCCCAGGTGCAGACTGTTTCTGGCCAGGTGGCCAGGCATGGGGCGGGGTGGAGGGGGTGGGGAGTGGGGAGTGGTGGGAGGCACAGTTCAGACTTGTACTGCCGCTCAGAAGGCACCAAGCTGGGCATGTGAGCCGCGGACCGGACCGCGGGGCTGATGTGGCTGGGCCCTGCGGGGAACACAAACTGGGAGGGGGGGGGGGCGGGAAGGGGTCTCAGGCCCCTTGCTGTGACCAAGCCTGTGGGTGGAAAAGTGGGAGTACGCTTCATCCTCACTTCTGACTGGGGAGACCCCCTTCTGAACTAAGGTGGAGGCAGATGGGGGGGAGGTTCTGGTTCT